TCGTCAAGACCGAAACCCGCGCTCAAACCAAGGCTCTGCTTAAATGCACTCGCTTCTGTGAGAAAGATGTGACTGTCTCTCTGCACCATGCTCGCAACACCACGAAGGGCACGATTTTCGCTCCAGAGATGCGTTACATGTCCGAAGAGGAAATCCTCAGCGGACTCCGTCCTGAGGGGGTCGCTCATGTCCGCCGCCTCACTACCTTCAGAGACGGCCAGAGGCGTGACACTAGCTTGCTGGTGATCACGTTCAACACAACGAAGCTGCCAGACACTCTGCTTGCCGGCCACATTCGCTACGAGGTTCGCGTCTTTGTCCCAAACCCTCTCCGCTGCTTTAACTGCCAACGCTTTGGACACGGCTCGAAATTTTGTAAGCAGACCGCACGGTGCCACCGTTGTGGTGCAGCTCCGCACGATGGCTCGCCCTGCTCCGCTCCAGTAAAATGTCTCAGCTGTGATGCCACGGACCACACTACCAACTCAAACCAGTGCCCAGTGTGGAAAAAAAGAAAAAGAAATCTGCACAGTAAAAGCCACCACGGGTGTTTCATACCCACAAGCACGCCGCTCAGTGGAAGAGAAAGTCTCCAAACAGCCAGTCAAGTCGTATGCCCAGGCCACACAGACTCAGACCGTCTCCAGCGGTACACAGACCGATGCCATCCCAGAGCTCCCTCCTCTGAAGTGCCTCTCGCCTCTGACTCCTGAGCCTATGGCTCCCGAAGCGACCGCCTCCACCAGCGCAACCCAGACATCTGAGACCACTGATGCAGATGAGCAGATGCCGTCTCTCGAGTCCCCACCAGCTGCTTCTCCTGAGATCGCTCAGAAGCCTAAGTCTGTCGGTGCAAGCCGCTTCACTAGCTGGACGAGGGTCCAGAAGTCTGGTGGCTCCCGCCCCAAACCCTCAGCTTCCCTCACAGGTGATGGACAATCCAAGGATCGCCAGTCACGTCCACCGACTCGGGTGGCGATGGGGCGTAACCGCGCGCTGAGCTGGGCCTCGCCCAGCCGTGGTAACACATCTCGTCACCAATCATGAATAGTTACACCATGCTCCAATGGAACTGCCGAGGCCTACTTTCCAAGTGGGCCGAACTAAAAAACTTTTTCTCCGTACTTACTCCTGTACTTATTGCGCTACAGGAAACTTGGTTTTTACCGACCGATCAGTACAATTTCAATTTATCAAACTACACATTATACAGACATGATGAGCTGTACGGACAGCGCCGCCATGGTGGTGTCGCATTATACGTAAACAACGATTATACACATTGTGAGCTTGATATACAGACAGATTTACAGGCCGTTGCGTGTACCATGTATGTCAACGGCAGGAACATCGATGTTTGCAGCATTTATATTCCTCCCGATTTTGATAATACAAACCTTCTTAGACAGCTTAACAATCTCACGGACCAGTTTCAAAACCCCTTTCTTCTTCTCGGCGATTTCAATGCCCACAGTCCGGCTTGGTTGGACACACAATCATTGAAACCCAGAGGAAGAGTTCTGGAAGATTTTCTTGATATGAATAGATTAGTAACACTCAACTGCAATCAACCGACACACTTTAATTTATCACATAATACAGAGTCAGCCATCGACTTATCTATTTCTTCTTCTTGCATTGCCCCTTGGTTCCACTGGACTGTTGATAGTGATATACACGATAGCGATCATTACCCGATTTTTCTTCGTTTTGGTTTTCCAGTCCCGGGTATCAGCTCTTTCATCCCCCGCTGGAATCTTGGCAAAGCTGATTGGATTAAATTCACAGAGTTGTGTGAATTTGAACACCACGAGCGCTTTGCAAATCCTGAAGACGGTATTTCATACATCACTGAAACATTAATATCAGCCGCAAAAGAGTGCATTCCTGAAACCAAGCCATGCAAAAAAGGAAATGCTGTACCGTGGTGGACACCCGCGGTTCGATTGGCTATAGCAAAAAGGAAAAGAGCCTTCCGTACTTACCTTAGACTTCGCACAGAACAAGCCTTAATTAACAGAAATAGGGAGCGCGCAAACGCTCAGCGAACTATTCGGGCAGCCAAGCGCGACTCCTGGACCCGATTTTTGTCTTCATTTACTTCTTCGACGCCTTTATGCAAGATTTGGGATTTAGTTCGTCGTTTATCCGGAAAACGCACAGCTGCAACTTTCCCGGTGCTTAGGCTTCCGGGAACAGCCAACACCATTAGTGAACCAAATGATGTCGTAAACTGTTTAGCTCAACAAGTTGCTTTCACGAGCTCAAATGAACGCTACCAACCACAGTTTATAGGTAGGGCTCGTCAACGATTTTTGCCTGACCCAGATACTTTTCTCTCAGATAACAACGAATACTACAATGTTCCCTTCACAGCACAGGAATTAAATGAGGCCATCGGTTCCGCCGGAAATACTTCCGTGGGGCCTGACAAACTTCATTATTCTTTCTTCCGCCATCTTTCGGAGAACTCGAAGCTTTTCATTCTTCAGACGTTTAATGATCTGTTCTGCAAGCAGGTCTTCCCAGAGCATTGGAAAGAAAGTATAGTTGTAACTCTATTAAAACCAGGTAAAGCTAGGCATAACGCAAACAGTTATCGTCCTATAGCCATGACAAGCTGCATAGGCAAGCTTTTGGAAAGGATGGTCTCCAAACGTTTATCGTTTCACCTCGAACAGCAAGAGTTGCTTTCGAAATTCCAATGCGGGTTTCGAAAGCAACATTCTCCAATCGACCACTTGATCCGTTTGGAGAGTGATATACGGAAAGGCTATAAAAAGAAACAACATACTTCAGCAATTTTTCTTGACATTAAAAACGCTTTTGATATGGTGTACAGGCCGGCATTGATTCATAAATTAGGCCTGCTTGGCATCAAAGGACACTTGGCTTTTTATTTGTGCAACTTTCTCTCGGGAACCAGGCGTTTTCGTGTTCGGCTCCGCTCAGTATTTTCCAACACGTATGAAACACAGAATGGACTTCCACAAGGTAGCTGTTTATCTCCAATTCTTTTCAACATTATGATTGACGATTTATTTGAAAACATTCCTGCTGACACATCTTTCTCTCTCTTCGCCGATGACAGCGCCATTTGGTGTACCACACCTGACTATGACATCGGGATCCATCGTCTACAAATAGCACTACATAAAATAGAAAAATGGTCGGCCTTGTATGGTTTGGAATTTTCTCCGGAAAAATCTGCGTTTATGATTTTTTCCAAACACAACATAACACAGCCATCTTCTATCCCTACCTTGAACGGGACGCCAATTCCACTCGTAAAAACTTTCAAGTTCTTGGGAGTCGTCTTGGACCCCAGATTATCAATGGTACATCATGTCAAACACGTTCAAACAAAATGCAAGAAAAGGTTAAATCTGTTCCGCTGTCTCACCAGTACCCCAGCGGGGGCAGATCGCTCGGTACTTCTAAGATTATATAAAAGCATTGTTTTACCCATTATTGAGTATGGGGCAGTCATGTACGCAGGGGGCTGTAAATCCAGTTTGATTAAGTTGGAAGCCGTCCAAAACAATTTTTTGAGGTTAGCTCTAGGAGCCATGAAAACATCACCGATATCATCTCTTCAAGTAGAGGCTGACATTATTCCTCTGCACATTAGGCGAATGGATTTATCTTTACGATACTACTCAAAAATTAAACAATATCCGTCACACGCAGCTCACACAGCTATATCCGTTCTTCCTCGGCTGCATTTCAGTTACCTCGGTCGATGCGAGAGACGGACCGGGCTTACATTGGCCTCACGAACAAGAAAATATCAAACTGATTTAGGATACGAGTTACCCAATGTCCCACCACTACCGCATTGTGCCGTATCGCCTTGGACGGCTCATCCACTTTCGGTGTCCTTTTTGTTTACGGCTCGTAAGGATTCTCTCTCTCACGGCGAAGTGAAGCAAGCTTTTCTTAGTTTTCAGGCGTCCAATGCTCTTTTCCATTTTGTTTACACAGATGCCTCAAAACAAAACAACACGGTCGGCATCGGTATATTCGCTCCAGAATATCCACAAACACTTGTAAGGGTACAAAATGATATTTCTGTCTACTCTGCTGAGCTACACGCAATTTTCCTCGCTCTCAAACTTATTCGCCATCACCACATTCAAATGGCATGCATATGTTCCGATTCCAAATCAGCAGTTTTAGGCCTTTTGCAACCTGATACCACGCAACATATTTGTTTAAACATACTTAATTTGCACCAACAACTTATCGACAACGGAGTTAAAATACAGTTTTTGTGGATACCTGGGCACAGCGGCATATATGGCAACGAAAAAGCAGACCAATATGCCAAGCAAGCCCTAGCGATTCAAGACATCACCGCGATCCCTTATACCTCCAGCAATATTCGAGCCTCCATAAAACAACATTGTTACCACTTCTGGCAAAACAGTTGGGACACCGATGGTATTGGCACACACCTTCATCGTATTAAACCGTATATACAACATTGGTCATCATCAAGTCGAAAATCCAGGAGAGAAGAAAAGGTTTTGGCAAGACTACGAATCGGACATACTTACTTAACTCATTCTCACATATTCAATCGACAGCCAAGGCCTACTTGTCCTTCTTGTAGGTCTCCTCTTACAATCGAACACATTATAGTACATTGTCGTAAATATCATATACATCGTAAACCAATAAATGACTACTGCCGGGCACATGTTGTACAAATGAATCTACCCATCGTTCTTGGTGATGATCATCCTGCATTACTACAACTTCTCTTCTCTTTTCTCCTTAAAACGGATCTTCTTCATCGTCTGTAGGTTCACTAGTTTCTTCATTCAGTTTATTTAATTCGACTTCGTTAACACACCGGTGCGAAATGGTCTAAAAGACCGAAGCACCTAACCAACAAAAGAAAGAATGGGAGTAAAATTGTCCATGCTTGATGCAGGTATTTGGTTTTGTACTTAGTTTTGTACCTGGCTTTCTGGCAGGAAAAATATATAGTGGCAATGGGCACCAACCTCACGTGAATACATGACAGCCACGCCTCTATATATGCCTACTCAATATACAGGGGCTTCGTCACAACATACGAAAGGCACAGATCAACTACATTTTTTTCCAGCCACGCACACTCTGCCACTAGCGAGAGATGTTTTACATAACTCGGAATTTCTCTCCAACTGCCTGAGTGCCAACAATCCGCAGCAGGGGAGCGGTAGACATGTCATTTCCAGCTCGTGCCAAAAACCAGTGGCGACACCGCTCGGTGCCAGACGAGCTATTTAGAAGAGCGTGGCCGATGACGTCATTGCAGGCCGACCAATCAGAGGCTGCCACCGCAGAGACGTGGCAGGTGTGAATTATTGTGTGATGGTGAGCCTCTTAGATTGAACTACGACGATACGATTGCTAAATAGATTATAGCGAGTGGTTTGGAAAAAGTTTTTAAAAAATCACCGTCCACTGGTGTCAGGCATTTTTCGTAGGGACTAATGGTAACTTTTCGGAATAGCAAGGCTTTTCTTTTTGTGCGACGCTATGACGACTGTATTCAAGAGCTAAAGTTATTGGTAGGGTTCGGGCCCCAACAGGCCCAAATGAAATGACATCCAGAACCACTGACCATGGCCATAAGCTTTGATTGCTCGTTAGCAGCATAGTTTCGTTAGCTACGGACATAGCAAATATGCTAGAAGCCAGTACGTAATGCACACCGTCTTCACTGACAACATTGTTATATTACATGTTTTAGGTCCGCGTTCGCAATAAGTGAAACCAAGGAGTTTACCATTGACACACTTGAGTTGGGATTACGGGTAATGCTACTCATCGGGTCAGCCAATCAGCGCCAGGCTAAGATAGTCAGCTAACACAGGACGCCAATTAGAACTATTCGATAAAAAGCTACCTGTCAATCCGTTTTGACGGCTTGGTCCAGCCAATTATGCAAACCCTTTGAGAGCAACACCGGTAGGTACCATCTGTGTATTTCCTAAACTACTATCAAACAAAACATAATTGCTCCGTAGCAATGTTGCCTAGAACGAACCACCCAACAGACACTCGCGGGACTTTTGATCTCCATTCAATTTATCTGCAACACAGCTGCTCACACCCTAATAATAGTTCACAGGGTCTGTCTTGACACGGAGAGCATCATTCTCCGAACCCGACCCAGACATGCAGCACACGTGTATCTACCAGACAGTGCAACCGCAGTCAGCCCCCACCCTCTTCCCGGAACAGACACAGACCTAGCCACACTCAGCCCCATACAGTCGCTGCAGCGCTCACTTGGCCGCTCGTTCAACTCGCAAGGACGGAAATAGTCCGACAGACGGCCTGCGCGCACCAGCTGCACATGTGGACTGCAAGGTTAGAGAAGAACAAACAGAGTGCTGCAATCACAGTGGGCACGGACCCTTCGGACCCCGCCTCAGCAAATCGGAACACGCAGTCAACGGTCGACCGTACTGATTAGGGAAACAACGCAAACTTCTGTCACTGTGATTATTTCAGATGAGCAGTTATCAACACCGAGGAACTACAAAAGCATGAGTAATGAGTATATCATGGCGAGTTACCAGCAACATGACCACTTAGTTTCACTCAAGCCTATCAGCTGTGTGATTACAAACGAGGCCGCTATCTCAGCAGGAATCAATATTTTCGCATAATTTTCGATAATATTTCTAAAACATTGTAACTTCAGTTTATCCAGTGCCTTTTTTGACAAGGTCATGAAATGTTGAGGTCACATCTTAACCCATTTACGCCCTTCGTTGCGTTTTCGCAACACAAGCAAGCGTCGACGTGATCAAATCTTGAGAAGTGTATAATGGCGTCTCACCGATGAGACAAGTTTCAGCGCGTTTAGCATGGTTGCGCGCATGATGCTACGCAGCTACAAGTCTGTGTGGCCGGTAACTTACTGTCCAGAGCTCCCAGAGGGAAGTCGTAGGTCCCGTCAGTGATGACGTCACGAAAACCAAAATAAGTAGATTAAGTGATTAATTATATCGTAATGAATAATGTGTGAACATATTCTGCAGAGTCCCTACAATAGCTAGAATATGCATTTTATTAACAAATTCTGCTGCAAATAGGGTTTGTGACTATTTTCAAATATGACTACAGTCGTGTTGCGGTAACGCAACGTTGGGCACATCGGAAAGACAGGGGTGTTGCGAAAACGCAACGAGGGGCAAATTGGCAGGGCAGCGGAAGTATAGGAACATCAAATAGACTTCACTTGTGATGCGTTGTGGGTTCTTTCCTTCTCTCCCCAATCTTCCTCCCTCTCTTCCACGCTCCCCAACTCTCTCTCTCTCTCTCTCTCTCTCTCTCTCTCTCTCTCTCTCTCTCTCTCTCTCTCTCTCCTTCCCTCCCTCTCTCTCTCTCTCTCCTCTCTCCTCTCTCTCTCTCTCTCTCTCTCTCTCTCTCTCTCTCTCTCTCTCTCTCTCTCTCTCTCTCTCTCTCTCTCTCTCTCTCTCTCTCTCTCGTTTTGTAGTCGTGAGGGACGTGTAGGTATGTAAAGTGCAAGGTGCATTTGCACGTGAATGTTGCGACACGTTTCACATTAACTCACTTAAACAGCTATCAAACACTCATTTATTTTTCTCTCGCAGATTATCGGGCTGTTCACTAAGCAATGGGTTTTCGAGCATCTGAAAATCGCATGGTAGGAAAAGGGACCTGCATCAAACGGTCGGCGATGCTAACGGAGCTGAGAGATAGCGAGGTATTTTGAAAATTGGATCTACTTTGTACTAAATAATGGGGACGTAGTCTGGTATCAGACGACAGATAGGCATTGTGATTCTCTGGATACAATCCGCTGGCCCTTACGTTAGAAAAGATAACTCCCAGAGTCGGCAAATGTGGGATATGTGCCCTCGGGGGGGGGGGCAACAGACCCCTTCGGCAGGGGTGATGAGGGCGTCTGGAAAATAATAGTTTATTTTTAGAATTCATGGTTTGCACGGATTGATAAGGTGGTTGATGTGAAGCATTGCTTGTTTGTTTACTGAGGGTAGGCCTTTTGTCTAATTAGACCATTTTAGAGCTACAGGATTATTGGAATTACGGAAAACATTGGTCTGAGCGTGCATGGTGAATCGTCGAGGCTGAGCCCATCCATCCAGGCACCCATGAACCCATGAACCCTTCCCAAGCACTTTCTGTATCCGGCTACAGACCCGTGCTCCTATGTGAGCTGCTCGAATGCGATATAGTTGCCTGTCCAGCTTGAAACAGGGGTTGGGGCATGAAGGAGAAGGATTCTACTATCCTGAAGATGGAAAGGACGGATTGACGGAACACTTGGAAACTGTGAACTGCGTCGAATCACCAGTCTGCCCTGGCATTGTCTGAGAAAGACGTTACAAGTGTGAAGGTCGCGATGAAAATTTTGGATTAGGTGTAAAAGTGATAAAATGGGTCCTGGGAGACACTTCAAGCCGAGTTGTTATGACGCGCTACGCCTTACGCGGGTAATTTGTGAAAGCCGGATAGGTTCATTTTTTGCTAAGAGTGGGCACGACTACCCTGCATTTGAATTTGTCTTTACTCCTAGGAGGGTGGTTAACAATGGTATTGCGGATAGGCGCTTAGGCGAGGCACTGGTTTACTCCCAATCCTCGGTTAAATTGTTTTCTGTTTGGGGTTCTCGTATGAGAGGGTAATGGGCTAATGGCTCTGTCTAGCTTCCAAAAAGAAAGCACCGCCCAGGGTACGTGCCAACCACTAGGTACTTTAAATGGACAATTGTTGATAATGACCGTTTGTTGCCATCTCCCCGTTCGCGAACCCTTAAGTTATGCTCCCTCATTCAGGCCCTTAGGCGGGTAATAAAGCATGAGGGATGTGGGTTCCGCATTCTCCAGCAATATTTGTCAACAGTTGGTGAATTGTATGTTAAAACAAACTAGCATATACGGCGGCTTAGTGTACTTTGTGTCCGTCTGATGTGCCCGTCGTTGCGTTTTCGCAACGCTGATGGCGCCCGGTGTGCCCTTCGTTGCGATTTCGCAACGCACGTTTTTTACGTTTTTCTCGAAAAACTTTTGCTGCCGGCAAAAATTATTTTCGATTCCATGCAAGGCCCTGGTAGAAGCGTAACATATCTTGATTTCATCGATTTTCATGATGGTCAATATTCCTGGGCATAAATGGGTTAACCAGCACGCAGCACGCGTAGCTAGAAGAATCGATGAAGTCAGCCCGGCTGTAACATTCTGCACCAATTCGCCGATATGCCTTCGGTGGTAGGCTGTGCCAGCAGGCACCGGTGATTTGCGGTACAGCATAACTCCCAGTAAACGGCTCGCCGCTCCATTTTCGACCCTTACTACCGCAGGGAAGACTTCGAATAAAGCTAACACTTGTCTCCTGACTCCTGACGGAAATAGGTGACACACGAAAGGACCAAGAAGTATGCTGTGGTCCCCTATACAACGCCCACATCGATTTGACTGACGGTTAACAGAGTGTATGCATTTCGAGTAGCAAACATTCCAACCATCAGATTTTGCATTACGAAGCTAACACCTGACAATAAGCGTTAACATTCACCACTGAGACAGCACGATATTTGGCATTGATTTCTTGTCACGATTGAAAAGATGCTAAGATGAGCTGAAAACACAGACAAGCAAAAAATATATGCATTTGCAAAAAAATTACAAACGCCAATAATTTCAAGAGTCCTGTTTTATCAAATCAAATAAGAAGCAGCCGTAGCGCCGTAGCACGAAATTAACCTCACTGACAATGATGCATGAATGTAAAAGGGTAGCATAAGAGTAATACTTCCAACGATCGACTATAGACTAGAAACACGTTACAGCAGCTGTGCATGTTCGGCTAATAAACTGCATAATTATAGCTAAAACATTAAAACATAATCACGAAATACCGTCAAATTAATTAAACATAAATGCCTGTAGAATGTGTTAATGAAGCGCATTTGAAATGTAATAAAAAAAGCACGATCACATCTGTTATTCCATGTAGGCAATCAAGGCATCGATACAATAAAAGGATTTCATATCTTACATTACGGACACACCACGTAAGCACGATTGCGCATTTCTTGCTTATCCGTCACGAGTCCGAGTGTGATGTCGGAACCTCTCTCCGCAGGACCGGAGGACAGCCCGCACCGCCCGTCTTCGAGCAGATATTCCGAAATGCCCGGTTCGCGCAGGGCGGCAACGCGCTGTTCGAGGGCTGCGTGCGCGGCACCCCACGACCCACGATCACATGGACGCGCCAGGGACGACCGATCTACGGTGAGTGGCGAGTTGAATTAGACGGAGTGGAGTTTGCGAGAATGGAGAGCTGGAGAGGTGGCCAATTAGTGTAGCTAGACTTCAGGGGAAGTTGTCAGGTATGGAGACCACATCCGCCTATACCTAACATATAATGTAAAAAGTACGTTCAAAACGAATTACGAAGCATCGAGAGATGCTTGCAGATACTCGTATTTTTCATCTTTATCACCGGCTAAAATTTACCCAATAATTAATAAATGCTCCAGAGCATTGTGTCCTTGATTCATAATCACAGCACTGCTAACATTACGGAAAGAATGTCTGTTGCAGCTGCTGCTAAGGGGCAATCGAAAGTGCGTAGTTCCGATATCCCCAGTTTAGCATGCTATTGAACCTGTCATCTGTAGCAAACTATCGTCTGCCGCACGTTTATTTGATTTACAGCAGTTGTTGATTCTGGCAACTGCGATTCCCTGTAATTGAGTTCAATGCTTATGTACCTAATCATAACTCATTAGCTGTCGGTTTAGAGCCGCAGGTGCATGGATATTTTCATTTCAGATCTACGCACCTTGACTTTGATTCTTACACCAAGTTCAATGCCAGCTTGCGTTACCCCCTGGTGCTATAATACCAACCATCGGCGCTGTTAAACAGAACCATTAATACCTAATCAAGATTCATTGCCAAATTTAAAGGATTAGAGATGGGAAGAAGGCTGGCAATCCTACGGCTCCAAAACGCACCACCATAAAACATAACCAATGCAACATTACCGGTACCTCGGCACCGGGAGTCTGTCCGCGGAGGGAGAACCCGGCCGGCCCCCGGGCCAGGACGGCGTCGGGCCGGATTTCAGCCTGGCCGCTGTCCCCTGGCCGGCCGCCAGGGCCACGCTCCACCGGCTGCCAGCCGCCGCGACCGCCCTCAGCTGGCCGCCGTCAGCTGACGCCAACGCCCCGGGGCGTTTGGCCGGACACGACGCGAGCGGTGCACCTTGGCAGAGAGAGAGCGGCGGGCGCCGTCCGAAATTTGGCCTAAACCTGTTCAACGGTTCCTGGTCTGTGCTAGCGATTACATTTGTAAAGCTTCACTGTATAAAACAATTAAAACTGCACTGAAGAGTAAACTCCATTTTCTACCAAAAATAACATAATCCATGAAAAACATTTTTTCGATTATCCCGTTCCAAATAAGTTCTTCCTTGCACAGTAAAAAAGAGAGCCAGCTTCGCTTGGTTTCCAATTACGTGGCTGACCGGCTGGCCAGCCAGACTGATGCCTGCGCTGGTATACTGTGCCGCCTGACATCCGTGGCTAGCGGGCCAGTCTACCCCTTCAGGCGCCCACAACTTGAGGCAGCGATCAGAGCAGGCGCTCTTAGGAAGACGATGCCACACAGATAGTGGATCGCTTTGAACATTTCACGGCACCTCGCGTGCCTGTTGAAATTTGTAATGATGTGTGTGAGCTGTCATAGGTCTGTAAGCCACGTATTTCCTAGCATTACAGGCTCGTTCACGATCAATCTTCGCAAATATTGAAAGGTCCTTTGTGCTTGCACTTTGCGCACAACTGCATTGAAAGCATCAAGTTTAAACAGATGTGTGTATGCACTTTAATTGCCCAACGGGACCTGTTGGAAATTTTCCCAAGCGGTTATTTGGTGCCTCATATTGATATCTCACGAAGTTGCGAGCAGCCCCCTCATCTGAGCGGCAAACTTTGTCATTAAATATGAGGTCACCTTCAAGCGCGCTACCTTGGACACATGTTTAGCTTCCCCATCTAAACAAACAACGCCGGAGCTATTGACATTTACTGAAATCACCGTCCACTTTTAGCGCCGATCACCGTGCCAACATTTCCTCCCATACCGGATTTCGGGGGTGGATAAAGTCACCAGGCGTGATGGGAGCTCTTCCACACCGCAATGGCGATGTCACCTGTTGTGGCAGGGGCTGCAGAAGCCTTCCAGACCTCGCCAGTCGCGCCAGCCCCGGCGGAATGCAGGGGTAAACAAGCCAGCTCGGCCGGTGGCTGGCAGCCGCAGGGGAACTGGAGCTGCTCCAGCGCCGATCAGCGAGAATTCAGACGCGTCCCAACTGAAAAATGGAGCGTCAGGTCTCGATAGGCGGCTTCAAAGTGGAATAAGATTAACGGCATTCCTATCTAGAGGTGTCAAAGCCGTCAGACCACAAATACGCCGCCTGGCCTCCACACAATCAGTCGTAAGCGAACTGATTTTTTTAATCAACCGATACCATCATCTGCCTACCATTACAACCGGAACCAGAGCCCAGCTCCCAGCTGAGAAGCAATACGTTCATCCGAACGCCACCATCACCCCTTGCTGTTGCCTGTTTCAGATTCGAACAAGTACCAGTTGAAGTATAACCCGACATCCGGCGAGGTCAGTCTGATGATCTCGCGGATTGGCCCAGGAGACGAGGGAGAGTACACGTGCCTGGCCAAAAACCAGTACGGAGAGGCCATCTGCACAGTCTACATACAGCCCGAGGGTGAGCAGTCAGCCGTGTTATGTAATGAAATCAGAGGAACCCGCTTAGGAAAGGACATGGTTGTGGGCATCGGGTGAAGTTGCAGAAGCGTTGCAATGTATGGGAACAACTGTTATAAACGATCATTTTATGGAAACATTTGTTAATGCCTTTAAAACAATAATCAACTTTATTCGGATGTTAACATATTTTCAGTTATTTTCAGAAGTGATTTACGCGCCCTAATCCGAAAATAAAAACAGCATTCAGAATTGATTTTAAGAAGTTTAACCCTATTCCTGGCGGGCTCCGCCGGGACAAGAAACTGGCGGGGGGGCCGATTCGGCCCCCCCCCCTGAGATCTCGAGAACGAAGCAAGATAGCGACAAGCGGTAAACGGCATCGGATACGCACGGTCAAGATCTACAATTTTTACCAAGGTCATTTTCAGGTCAGGTCAAAGATGACGTCACAGGGGTCGAAAAAGTCAAAATGGCGGCGCTGGATATGGAGAGAGTTTTTCTCGAATAACTTTCGAATTAGTCAAGATAGGAACAAACTAAGGGCAGCATCGTGATCCTCTCGTCAATCCGCATCGAATGATATATATGTTGACCTCGAAAGGTCAAGGTCAAAGGTTGACCTCAGGTCACGTGACCTCGAGGTCATCATGTATATCATTCGATGCGTCTTGACGAGCTGAACACAATGAGACCATCCACGCGTCTGTATCTTGTTCCTGTACGGAGTTATTGGCCAAAAACCTTTGGTGACCTTTGATGACGTCACATGACCTCACAGCTGCCCAACAGCAAAACAGACCTCAAGGTAGTGAAGGTTGATCGTATATGAAGTCATGTATGTGATATGGGGCCATTCCGACCCGTTTTAGTGGTAAAAACAGGGAGTTGATTTTTCCCCCATTGACTTATAATGGGGAGGTCGCGAAACTGACCTGACCTTAGGTCACCGATATCAAAATTCCGAGATATACAAATTGCACATACTGGTACCCTAACTAAAACCTGAAGAGAAGAAATTGATCGGTCAAAAACTCTAGCTCTGGCGTGATTGCAAACTTTTCTGAGGTAGGGTCACCAAACCGCCTCTGGTGACCTGACCTGAGGTCAGATCAACTCAAAATTTTCAGACATGTTGCGTAGAAGCCTTTTAGGAAAAGTCAGAAAATTTGAGCTTCCTAGCTCAACGCGTTTGGGAGAAATAACCAAAAAACCTCAGGGGGGGGGCTCCTGAGGCCCCCCCCCCCCCCCCCGCCAGGAATAGGGATAAGGGTCCCATGCGACGCTCACGAGTTCGCGACATTTAAGTGTGTTCCAATGGAAAATTGCCTGCGCCCAGGTGCCGTTACGCAATATGCTGGAACCTGCCATCGCCGTCTGCGAAATTCAGTATCGTAGTCGTGCCAAAGTCAGCACAGTAAAAACAGCTGGCAATAATGCGCACATCCGTTCTGGAAAACAAAGACTGACTCACTGGAACTGCACCTGAATAAGACAGGGCATAGGGGACATAATGAAGGAAATAAAATACCTATATGAGTGGCCGAGCCAACTTTACGGATACTGGTTCCAATCGGCCGCATTATCAGATACTGCGATACAGTTGCTTTGCATAATATTGCACTTTTACAAGGATTGTCATTCCGTGACTCTGCTGATCAGGCAAAACTTCACGTCGTAAGTAAAACTGGATAGAATTCAGATCCGGATGTGTCTAACTTCGCTCTCTTCGTCTTTTCAGCTGCGTACCTGCAGCAGCAACAGCAACAGCAACAGCAACAGCAGCAGCAGCAGTTGCAGTTGCAGCAGCAGCAGAACGTTCAGCAGCAGAGTTTTCAACAACAACACTTTCAGCAGCAGCATTTCCAGCAGCAGCACATCCAACAGCAGCACTATCAGCAGCAGCAGTTCCAGCAGCAGCAGTATCATCAGCAGAGCATGCAGCAGCAGAGCATGCAACGGCGGATGATGGGCCAGCAGCAGACCATGCAGTATCACCAGGAGATGAGCTCCACCACGGACTCGGCCGGACACTCCACCACGGCGCCGTTCGCGGCCCCGATCGGACAGCCGCCTGTGCAGCAGCAGGCGGAGGTGAGAGACGAGAGGGGGAGGGGAGAGAGGGGAAACGGGAGGGGAGAAGGAGAGACAAAGGGAAAAGGGATGCGGGGTGGAACAGCGGGAAAAGCGAGGCGAAACGGAAACTGACTAAAGGTTTAAAAGGAAAAACTAAAAATCTGCAGTAGCATTGAAAGGAAATGCATCGACCCCTCGTCTATTCTAAAAATGGCAGTTACCAAGCTTGCAACACATACCTCTAGGTATAGCTGTTCACCAGTGTCTACTTTGATCTAGCATTATCCAGTTGGGGAGGGGGAACAGTGATCCCAGCAGCAGGCCAGTTCTCTTGGCACGAGGGTCTGACAGCGCTCTATGATGTAAATTAGTCAACTCGGACACGGCTCCACCTGCGTTGCTTCATTCCTTGCCAGAGTTGTCCTACAGCAGGTGCACTTGTGTTGAAAACATTCGTCACAAGTGTTTAAAGAGCAGTTAAAATGGCAGAGGTGAAGTAGGTAAAATGTCTTGCATGACAAATTTAGCCTTCAGTGCGCGTTGAAGAACACCCACACTCTAACACACTTCTTCCACATTTTAACACGCTGTCCGTTTTTCAAATGTTTCTCAGATGACATTGCGAGCATTAATATCATAAAACTACTATACTAGCTCGCAAAGATCAGCGGAATACTTTGCGCACTCATTCACGTCTGACGTTGGCAGGAGTTCCGGGTGGACACCTTTGAGTACCGTCTGATCCGTGAGACTGAGTTCCGCGAGTCACTCACCCGCCGCTACGCTGGTGAGACTGAGACTGAGACCGAGGTGGAGACAGAGACCGAGAGCCGCCAGCCGGGTCCTCTCAGCCCGCCGCAGGTGCAGACCAAGCCACGCGCCACCAAGGTCAACCAGAACGGCGACGCCACCTTCCAGGCGCGTCTGGTCGGCAACCCCAAGCCCAAGGTGACTTGGTTCCATAACGGCGTGCGCGTGCGGACCGGTACGCGCGCCGCGGCGTCTCACAGCAACTCAAACGCGGTGCTGCGACTGCGCTCAGTACAGCCCGAGGACTCCGGACACTACACGATGCTGGCGGAGAACGCTGCCGGCTGCGTGGTCAGCTCGGCCTACCTCGCGGTGGAGCCGGCCGCTGACCTCAACCGGCAGGGAGTCACCACCACGCAAAGAACGTGAGTGGGGTGTGCGGGTGGTGACGGGGGGCTGGGGGACAGCGGGTGGCTAGTAGATATCATGGTGTTTGAAACATTGCCATCTAGCATCCTACAACATAGTTAGTAGCAGTTATCATGAGAATCAGGCATCGTGTAGGAGTCGGTACAGAATCACGTCTTCTGCTCACGGTCAGCAAGCATTTTCATTGAAGGAGTGCTCGCCGATTACTTACGAACATAATTCACGAGGCTTTCACAAATGTTTACAGTTCGGGTAACTGTATTATTGCCCTCAGCGCATACTCTGCGACGGAGGAGACGGCGACAGAGGACCGGACCCTGGCGCCCACCTTCCTCCGGGTACCCACCGACAAGGAGACCCAGGAGGGCAAGATGGTGCGACTCGAGTGCCGCACATCCGGCAAACCCAGTCCAGAGGTGAGGCGACGTACATACAGCACCGTCAACAAGAGTGTTGCGCTGTTGACAACAGCAAATTGATTAAGAAATTGGCACGCAAATGTCGTCGAGGGCAGTCCTGGCAATGGCGATACCGGGGCGGTAGCGGGTAGTGTGTAAAAGTTGTGACACATGCTAGCTGACGGCTGACAGGAGTACATGCTATTTGTCAGACAAGTGCTCCTCTGACACATGAACAATGATGATGAAGGTTCACATGTCAGGCATGCACTTTAAAGATCATCATTATTTATCTAACACGTCTCAGGTGTTTTCGCACCGTCTAGCTAATCCATCAACCCATACCAAGTGACTCCTCAACGTCGCAGATACCTGATGTCTCATACCCCTAACGATGTCGGGAACGACCATCACCACCCGACCTCCATCCGCTCAGGTTTTCTGGTACATCAACGGCCTCCCCATCGTCAATGACGCCACGCACAAGATCATGGTCAACGAATCCGGAAGTCACGCGCTCATGATCACCAACGCCACGCAGCGAGACTCGGGCGTCGTCACATGCGTCGCCAAGAACAAGAACGGGCAGACACAGTTCCAGGTAAGGGAATGTGGCACAGTGCACAGCTGCTCAGGCTGATCACTTGAACCAGTCCTCGCATTATATTTGCACAATAATTGTAAATCGGCGGAAAGTTGACTGAAAGGTAATATGGACGCAGGGAATTCGCTAGTCCCTGCCTTCATCGACTGCCTAATCCATCGAGTCCAGAGGCTTCAAATAGCACGTGAGTTCACATACTTTTGAAAACCTTCTAAACTAGTCCAGTCAACTAGTTTATCTGGCCCAGGTATCATGACTGGAAGCGCTCTGACGCTAGTGTTACCTAGTGAACCAGTTCACATCCAACATTCCACCTACAGGTGAACCTGAACGTGCTGGAGCGCGAACAGGTGATCGCTCCCAAGTTCGTGGAGCGTTTCCAGACGGTGCACGTCCGGCCCGGCGAGCCCGTGTCTCTCAGCTGCCGGGCGGTGGGCGCACCGACACCCCGCATCACGTGGCAGAAGGACGGTGCAACCATCGACAGCTCGGCCGACGTACGCATCGTGACCGATGGAGGAGCCTCCATGCTGGACATTCCATGGTGAGTACTTCGGGGTGAAATGTGGAAAGCCTGAATACTGGTGTAGACATGCGAGTGAGAGTGATAGGCACAGTGAGAGAGGGAAGGAGAGAGAGAGAGAGAGAGAGAGAGAGAGAGAGAGAGAGAGAGAGAGAGAGAGAGAGAGAGAGAGAGAGAGAGAGAGAGAGAGAGAGAGAGAGAGAGAGAGAGAGACGAGGCAAGGGTGGGACGTTTGGTTGGTCATCGATGTGTCACGGAGAATGCCGGGGAGCTCTGTCACCTCGGGATGGGCGTTGCTACTGGCGCCGTTCGACGTCGGTCGTGCCAACGGTATGTCACGTGACGGTGCATTTGTCGCGAGGTCGATGGAGGCCAAGGTTCTGGGCTGGCAGCGTGACATTGGACGTCCCAGACGGGTTAGTCATGCCCGTGATGTGGCGATGGTCATCAACCACCAGACAACTTTGTGATCAATGCTGAAGCGAGGTTTATAGGATGACGATTGGTTGGTAGAGGGGTGAAAGCTTCATGTCGTTGGGGAAAATGACAGTCTTGGGGGTATTCTCAGTGCTTGGTACTCACCGAACTTTGTGTATCCACAGCGTGCGACCCGAGGACGGCGCGTGGTACCAGTGCACCGCGCAGAACGCCGCCGGCAGCACGGCCACGCGGGCCAAGCTGTACGTCGACACGGGTCCGGCGCCTCCGGCGGGAGAGCCGTGGAGACTGCACCTGCCCAAACCGACCAGGGTCAGTGGGGACCGGGAGGCATACATTGACATGAGGACAGCAGAAGGGATAGTGCAATCGCTATACACTGCAAGTCCCATCTTTATCTGCAAACCCTATCCTACGTAACAGCATTTCGTTTCATTTATCTTCTAAAAGAATCACACAGAGCAATCTCACACATCCCCCGCTCCCCTTCCCCACAGGTAATCGAGCCAGAGCCGCCTCAGGAGTCAGAGATTATCCACCTTCGGCACGTGGAGCGGTCGCGACCGAAGCCGCAGCGTGCCGAGGAGGAGCGTCCCGTGCACCCTCCGCAGTTCACCCACCCGCTGAGGGATGTCGCCGTCAGCGAGGGAGACAGGATACTGCTGGAGGCCAAGGTGGTACCGCTCGGTGATCCGACCATGAGGATCGAGTGGTACATCGACGGACAGCCGCTGCCGGCCAGTGAGTGCACATGATGAACAGTGTGGGTAGGGAGGAAAGACGGAAATGTGTTGGGTAACTACCAATTAGGCTGCTTGAGTTTAACAGCGCTCAGCAATAAACGAACCAGTAAAATAGGGAAAGACGCAGGGGACGATGACGCGGTAAGTTTCATCCTGTCCTAGATGTTTTGTTCGTTGCTTAGTTTATTGATGACCATTGCCATTCAGGTTCTAATGCTTAAAATAGTACTGTCGTTGGACATTAGACTAGCATCCTAGCATATTTACCAATGCCCTCCGTTTCCACTCCCTGCAGGTTCGCGGGCGACGCTGACGGACAAGTTCGGCTATGTGTCTCTGAGTCTGCTGTCGGTCGTTCGTCAGGACACCGGGACCTACACCTGCCGTGCGGTCAATCAAGCGGGGTCAGCCGACACGACCTGCACGGTTTCTGTAGGACGTAAGTTCTCGGGGCTGTCGGTGCGCTGGAATCATGCAAAAACAAGTGAATTTTGGCACGCCCTTTACCACAGTGTGCAAAAAAAAGAGGCTGAATGGCCGCGTTTTGTCTTTAGTTATGTAACCGTTCAGCATGCCAAGGCCCCGTTTTGTTTTTTTACACCTCTGCTGCCTTTCACAAATACGACACTCATCTAAATGACATATATGTTCTCCAGTGCATCTGTTAAAGCCACTGAAAAAAAAACTGTTCAACTCTGACGCACCACTTTTCTTTCCAGCTCGCTCCACGATCGAGACCAAGTCGCAGCACCCGGAGAGTCTGCAGCCGATCCAGCAGCTGGAGGACAACTCGCGCTACGTGCTCAAATCCGCCTCCATGGAGATGACCAGCATGCGGCCCACCTTCGTGCACGAGCTGCGGGACGTCTCTGGCGTCACGGAGGGCTCGTACGCCCACTTCGAGGCGCAAATCAACCCCGTGTCCGATCCGTTCATGAGGATTGAATGGTTCAAGGACGGAATACCCCTTACAGCGAGTAAGCATGCTGCGGGATAGATAATGGAGCTGGATATAGAAGGGATTATAAGTGGAAAACAATGGGAACGTTTTTGGTTATATTACTTTAAGTTGGCTACACATGTGTTTCGATATAAATCTTTTTCAAGCCATAAAGACAAAATAAAATGTAAATAATTCGCCTAAACATCAAAGTTGTCAAAATAGTCAAAAAGTTGTCAAAAACTATTTCGACAACTTTGATGTTTAGGCGAATTATTTACATTTTATTTTGTCTTTATGGCTTGAAAAAGATTTATATCGAAACACATGTGTAGCCAACTTAAAGTAATATAACCAAAAACGTTCCCATTGTTTTCCACTTATAATTCAATTTGTCTATCTATATCAATATAGAAGGGATATCTTCGTTTTTAGGCTCAGTATTTATGGGATAAATTATGATCGAATGATTTGCACATGAAGGAAAACTGATTTAACGGACGTCTATCAGCGGACATACTCATTTACTGTCACCTGCTGATGGTGACAGCCTGAAAGTGGAAGTGCCTAATAATTACCTGTTTCTCTGCAGGCTCCCGGATCTCCACCATTAACAACTTTGGCTACCTTGCCCTGAACATCAACCAGCTCCGACCGGAAGACTCGGGTGTCTACACTGTTCGCGCCACCAACAAGGTAAGGTCAAGACGGTCCTCTTTCCCTATGACGTCCGAAACAATTTGTATGTTTGTTTGTTTTGTTGGGTTAGGCCCTTTCGGTCCAATGAGACCATTTCAGAGCCGGGAGGATGATAGGATATAGGGGGAGACATTGGTCTGGGCAGGCACCCTAGTGAGTCGCCGGGGCTGAGCCCGTCCAGAGGACAGGCCACCCAGCCCCAAGGCACTCACTGCACCCGGCTACGGGGTGCGCTCCCTCGGGAGCAACGGTGCCGCTCCAAGGGAGCAGCCCGCATGAGATAAAGTTGCCTGTCGAGGGGGGTTGCGGCGTGGAGGAGAAGGATTTCAGTATCCTGAGGATAGAAGCACGGAACGGTAGCCGAAACAATGCTGAGCCACGTTCGTTTCTTCCCACTAAACCCAGTTTGTTGATCCCTGTGTTCTCACACCGCCTCCCCCCCCCCCCCCCACACTCCCCAGGCGGGTGACTCGAGCAGCCAGGCGAGTCTGACGGTCAGCGTTCCCGACTCGGGCGTGACCGGCGAACTGGGCATCCCCGAGCAGCAGCGGTACATCCAGTCCGTGGAGCAGCTGGAGGCCTACAAACAGTCCATCTACCAACAGGTACGTGCAGAATGCAGATCGACAAAGGAAGAGGGAAATTATCCGTGGGGTGTCGTCTTCAGATAAATGTTTTTTAGGACAATCGATTGTACATAATAGCGGGGAGTGGATGGGACAAGCGTATTAATATCACTGGTTATTGAAAGGTAAACGAATTGATTATATCCACATTTAAGGCCGTCATATGTTCTTTATTTACCATGAATTTTCCACTCCCTTCCAAGTGAGCCACTCTCCAACCCATCTTTTACGTGAAAGATGGCAGTTCACTGACACACCAGCCCTAAGCTATAGAGAAGAACCGACCTGATGTTTCCCTGTCACGCAGGTGACATCGGAGCTGGAGGAGAAGACGGTGCCGCCCAACTTCACCCAGCCGATCCGGGACGCGCCGGCGGTGCCCGAGAACGGCACGGCGCACTTCGAGGCGCGCCTCGAGCCGATGGGAGACGCCACCATGACCATCCACTGGCTCAAGGACGGCAGACCGCTCGAAGCCAGTAAGTATTGCAGATGACTTTGCGATGGGATGAGTGGGATCTTGTGGCAGCCTCTGCGATGCCTCTAAACGTAAAATTGCAATTGCCAAAGACGTAAATATGGAGTGGAAAGGCAATGCAGTTCAGATCCTGCCATCAACAACAAGACTTTCAACAACACTTTCCGTCTTTTCCCACAGGCTCCCGTATGACTACCTTCTTCAACTTCGGCTACGTCAGCCTGACCATCAAGCAGGTCAGCGTGTTCGACACGGGCGTGTACACGTGCGTGGCGCGTAACGCGGCCGGTCAGACGCAGTGCCAGGCTCGCCTGCAGTGCGTCGGCAGGCAGGACGTCCTCCACGAGAGCAACATGGAGAGCATGCAGAAGATCCAGTACCTCGAGGACTCCAGGTATTACAGGAGAGGAGATTAGGAAAGAATGGGGCTGTTCCGAGTTGTGCACTGAAAACCGATGGAAATGGCTTTGAAATCGGTGGCTAGGATCAAACGACCCCAAGGTCGGAGGCAGAGCCATTGATCTCACCATAAATAATTGCTCAAATTTTAGACAGCGTTCTAAGCCAATATCTAGAACGTGAGGCGCCTTGTCATAGCAGAAAACAAATGCATCAACATAAGAACGGACTAGCGGCTTCAATTAACTACATGAACATTATCTCGCGGCATGGCGTTGAACGAAAACGTTGAATGTTACCCTGATGTTTATGTACTACAGCCGGTACCAGCGTACTGAGGAGGAAGACATCACCGTCACCAAGATGCCGCCCAAGTTCCTCGGACCCATCAAGGGAACCAACGTCATCCGGGAGGACCAAAAGGCCCACTTCGAGGCTCGCCTCGAGCCTCAGAACGATCCAACGATGAAGGTTGGTTTCAAGGAAAACAGCGATGGCATTGTGCTTCAAAGGCCATGCCCACAACCCTCTAAGCTATCTCCCGACTCAGTATGCTTACTTCCCACTTCTTAGCTTCTGTGCTATTCGCGCTTCCATGTTACTTGCTTCAACTTTAACGCAATTTTCCTCCACCACAGACGGAATGGTTCCACAACGGCAGGCCACTGACTTCGGCCAACCGGATTCAGACGTTCCTCAACTTCGGCTACGTTGCGCTGGACATCAGCGCCGTGAAACCGGAGGACGCCGGCACCTACACGCTGGTGGTGACCAACGCGCTCGGACGCGAGCAGCAGCAGACCCAGATGAAGGTGGAAGGTAGGTGGCAGACATGAGTTAGAGTTAATGTTAGGCAACGGTAATGTCTGAACGATGGCTTTTAATGACGAAGTGAGAATGTTGTCATGAGTAGATCAGAACCATCCACATCGACCGGTTAAGGAAGTTGCGAAGGATATTGGTAGAAAAGTGATAATGTAAAATATGTCTGTATATACATAAGAGCAGGATTGATTTGATGCAATTTTCCTCGTACAGTAAGAAGTGACGCGCCAGTCCCACGGTCGGCATCGTACCACCATTCACCTCGCCTCCGTCTCTTCGCAGCTCGGAGCGCCATCGACACCACGTCCATCCACCGGACTGTGGTGGAGAAGACGGACCGACTGGAGCGGTCCAAGTTCCAAGAGCCGCAGTACGACGTCGGCGACTACTGCAAGTCCAAGCCGCACTTCACCGAGCCGCTCAGGGTGAGGAAGGGGTCGTCGAGCCTGGAGGGTGGTGAAGAAATGAAGCATTGTTCGGAAGTGTGAGGTCTGATCGCTAAGGAGGATATCGAGCTGCTTCATATAGCATACATTCTGCACTTAGGACGCATGTAAGGTCAACGAATAGGACTTAACCTGGAAAGTTGCGGGGACCTTTCGGAATCGCTTTGAAGACAAGCTGATGTTTACCTTAGGGGAGTTTTCGTAACAGAACGTCCTGGATTGAGTGGAGGCTTACTAAGCTCCGGATATGACGCAAGGTCACAGGGGCCACTTGGCAGGGTCACAGAGCCACTGAGCGAGTGCGAAACGACATTCTGAAGAGAATGCTGGGGTAAATATTGATGACAGCACAATGCAAATGTTTTCTCTGGATGTTTACCAATCGCATTCGTAACAGAACTCTTCTAAATATTATCGAAGCGTGACGGGATGCAACTCGAAGTCGAAGACAGCTAAATCTTTCATTGCTGTTGAGGTAGCCAACATTAATTAATAATTTCTTTGAGCTTTCGATGAATCAATGTTTATCAGGTGAAACCCAACAGCCGATATGCAATTTTAGTGAACGCATGTTATAAAAATTGATTACCTTAAGGCAGTGCCATAGGCTCGATCGCCTTCAACGGCCAGCAGCCAATTCCAATGACTCACCGCCCTAGCCAGCACAAGAACCGACAGCGCCCTTCCCATACCAATGCCAAGGATCTTCTGACCGGCGGTACCAAGTAACAGTCAACCCTCTTCCCTCTCCCACAGGACATGCCGCCGCAGGCGGAGGGTCGCGGTGTGCACCTCGAATGTCGCCTGGAGCCGCAGAACGACCCGACCATGAAGGTCGAGTGGTTCCAGAACGGTCGGCCCATCACCATCGGACACCGGTTCCGTACCTACTCAGACTTCGGGTTCGTGGCGCTCGACATCCTCGACCTGACGACGGCCGACTCTGGCGAGTACACGGCGCGCGCCACCAACCAGCTCGGCTCGGCGCACACTTCAGCCACCGTGCCGGTGCGGTCACATGCTGACGTCGATACGGAGACGCAGCACGAGGGGGCGCTGGACCAGATCCAGTACCTGGAGAGTGGCTCGCGACTCACCAGACAGATGACCACAGAGACCATGGTGGATCAGGTGAGACATCGACAAATGATGGGTGGCGGTATTGCAGAATTCGGGCTGAAATACAGCGTCTCATAAAGACAAGGTTTTAATTCAGCTAACGCGTAATTCAACTTGCTTGAGGATAATCGAGTCTGCATACGCCACTCCCTAGACCCAATGACGGTTTACGATTCATGACCTCGTTGACGTCAAACATGCACAACTTAATACTCAACTGCGTTCACAGGCACCCACCTTTACCAAGCCCCTGCGCAACATCGAGACGATGGAGGGAACGAACGTGCACCTCGAGTGCCGTCTACAGCCAGTGGGCGACAACAGCATGAGGGTAGAGTGGTTCGTCAACGACAAACCGCTCAAAGTCGGTACGTACCAAATACCAAAAGGGGTCAATCCCCTTACATTGGTTATATCCACACCATAAAACGACGATAGAGAAACGATATAGAGAATGCTTCGAGCGCAGTCCGCATAACAGTAACATAACAGTAACAGTAGTGCCGTAACAGTAAGGAGTGAGTCTGACTGAGGCTAAGTAGGATGAACCGCTCGGCTACCGACACTCGAATCGGGGAGTAGGAAGGAATTGAGGCTCTGTCGAATCGGTTGCCCAGTCTAAAATCCTCCAGATGGGGTAGGGGAAGGGAGCATAACTGAGTTAAAAATGCTCTTTTAATCAACCGTTTGGTCGAAAACCTGTGGCATTACTGTAAGTGGGTGAAATACTGGATTAGTTGTTCGTGGAACAGCAGCAACACAACTCAGTCGACCACAAATCAATCAACATTCGCAGATCATTTCTCACACTGAATCGTATCCGCAGGTCACCGCTTCCGTCCTGCTCACGACTTTGACTACGTGGCCCTGGACCTACTGAGTGTGTACGCCACCGACTCGGGAATGTACACGTGCCGGGCCACCAACCGGCTGGGACAGGCGGTCACCTCCGCGGCCGTCCGCGTCATCGGTGAGTGCAAGCATGACGTCACTGGTGTATTGTGACGTCAGAGGTGGAATTATGAGACAATCTCGAACCTGTGACCTAATAGATTTCCAGAAAATCGATATCTTGATTTTTGAAGGACCAACCTCAAAGTAGCAGCATAAAGAAAACGGTACCTAGGAGTTGACGAAATCATTCAATTTCATCCAGCTTCATTTTGATCATGTTGAGCCGAGAACTGAAGTGACCCATCGATTCCTCTCACAGCGCATCACGCCAAGACAAATCAAACAGCTGACGCTGGTAAACGGAATATCTGTAGATTGGAATAGCTGCAAATAGATAGAGCAATAGACTTGTAGTGGTCTACGATAGAGCTCATTAGAAGGGAGCTTGAGCAGGATAAGCTTAGACTTTTCGAATGCTTTAGATATCAGATGAAAGTAGTTCACTGCCAGTTGGCTCTTACCTTACATGAAGATAATTAGGTGGTTTGAAATTATACTGCGTCATACCATATTTTGAACAAGTAGTTACCTAAATATACTAGCGGCAAGCAGCACTGATAGTGAATTGGAAGAGCTATTTACGCAGCAAATAAAAATAGTGTATAGCAAGTAGCATTCCTAAGCTTGCTACATAGTCATCAGTGCTCGGAGCCTTGAAGTAGGTACACTCGGGGGCAGATTGATGTTCCACCACTCCCTACCCATCGGGCTCCCATGGCTCAGCACTGGCTGCAGCCAGTGGCAGAACTGGCAGCACTGGCACTGGCAGGCAGTGCTGAGCAGTGCTGAGGGCAGGCAACAATGGCAGCAGCCAGTGCTGAGCTATGGGAGCCCGATGGGTAGGGAGTGGTGGAACATCAATCTGCCCCCGAGTGTACCTATTGCTGAGCTATTTCGAGGTATCGGCATTTCGAGCAGCTAGAATGAGGCATATTATAATTTTGGCCTTCATCAGACTTCTTTTCCGTTTCAGAGACTGTTTTTCTCCCAACAACAATAAAAATTGCGACTATGATCGACAAAATATTAGGGATCCCTAGCAATGGCTGCGCGATGCATATCGAATAGGTAATTGCCGGCGCTATTTGAATATCCCGAAGATCTGCCTAACCCCACGCATGAACCCCACTCCATGCCATATCTCTATGCATGCCACGACGTTCATGCCCCTGCGTTTGTCCCCACAGCCAAGAACGACATGTACACGAACCACCCGTCCTCGCTGGAGCAGATCCAGTACATTGAGGACTCGAGCCGCTATCAGCGCAAGGAGTGGGCCGATGAGATGGTGCAGGTCAAACCCAAGTTCACCACACAGCTCAAACACCAGGTCAGTTGCATGCCGTTCGGAAATGCATTAGCATCATTCTGGACGGTGTGAAGTTAAGTCCAAGAGCATAGCTGAGATGAACAAGCAAGACCAGCGTTTTTTTTTTTTTAATTTGCTCGCATACCTACTCGCTCGCATCCAACAAGCTAAAGAGGTCACGAGTACATGTGTACGTACGTTTTTTTGGCAAATTGATCGCTGTTCTGCCTTTTTGCGACTGAGCAGTTGATTGACGTATTTTTGCTTTGTGACGCACGTTTCAGGAGAACCTGCGTGAGGGTCAGACGGCCCACTTTGAGGCCAAGCTGGAGCCGGTGGCAGACGCTAACCTGCACGTCGAGTGGCTCAGAGACGGAAAACCCATCACCGTCGGTAGGTGCCTTGTCCTGTGGTCAACTACCCGAGGTTCTTGTGAAACAGAAATAAAATTAGCAGAAGTAAACTTTTTACAAACAATCTTCGACAAGAAGTCTCAAAATTTGGGATTTAAAAAATGTAGACGCCATGAACAGCGGAATCATGATGGCTTGAGTTATAAATCACAATTCCACACGAGATAACCTGCGTTGCCACTGCCACGAGGCGCGGCGAATGATTCGAGCAATCATGCGCCCACCCGACCCACCGCCAACGACCACTGACCGTGACCCGCGCACCCCGTCAGGTCACCGTCACCGTCCGCTGCACGACTTTGGGTACGTGGCGCTGGACATTGTCGGCCTGATCGAGGAGGATAACGGCGTCTACACGTGTCGCGCCACCAACAACCAGGGCGTCGACGAGACATCGGCCATCCTGCGCTGCTCCAGTGAGTGCGAACGTAAAATTTAATAAACTGGCAAGCAAATACATTAGCACATGTATGTAATAAAGCAAATAAATTGACAGGGTGGATTGTCTTGCTGTGGAATTCAAGACTTACAGTTACTCAGGTCTCCGTGAGGTATTTTAAAAAGTGACGTGTTTACGTGATTGATAACGTCTGATCTGTGTCAGTATGGCACCTACTTGAATCAAAAACGTGCACTCGAGGACTAATTCTACCAAGCATTGGTTGCATTCGAGCTGATAAGAACTGACACGTCTCCCAAAAATTATCAAGAAACCCAAATGTATCTATAAAAATCCGATCAAGACATGTGTGTGCCTCTGACGTTCATACGATTTCTTTTTTTTATTGAAAACGACCGGGTAAAAATGAGTCACAATGCTACCATTACCACTACCAGCGCTCTGTCCCTCACCCGTGTCCGTCCGACCCTCAGGCAGCACCAAGGTGCTGACCAGCTCGCAGCACGAGTGCGGTCTGGAGCAGGTCCAGTACCTGGAGGACCGCTCCCGACTGACGCGCTCCGAGACACTGGACGAGGTCACCACGCAGGCCCCCGTGTTCACCACCTCTCTGAGCAGCGTGTCCATCAAGGAGGGCCAGCGGGCGCACTTTGAGTCGCGCCTGATCCCCGTCTCGGACCCGACCATGACCGTCCAGTGGTTCCACAACGGACGGCCCGTCAAGGCCGGATCACGGTACGTGAAACAGGGCGAGACATATAAGAGGTGCGCAGGTAATTGCTAGGAATGACGAACGATAGATAAAATACAATGGAGACTTCAGAAGGCTGCATTGTATCAAACATTGTGTGCGGGGAAGTCATCCGGCCGGGGAAGACTTCCGGCTAGCGGAAGTCATCGTATTTTGACCGCGGCATCCTCTTCGAATCGTTATCAACAAGACGAACGCTCCTTGCAGGTTCATGGAGACAAACAGCTTCGGTTTCGTGGCTCTGGACATCATGTACGCCTACCCCGAGGACCAGGGAACCTACACGTGCAAAGCCACCAACGCCCTGGGAGAGGCCGTCACGCAGGCCACCCTCACCTGTGCAAGTAAGCATTGTCACAGCTGATGCAGTGAACATCTAATAGACTCCAAGTCATGTGTGGCTGTGTGTTGGTCAGTAGTTGGTCCGCCACATTTGTCCGGCAGCTAGCAGCTGTGGTTGTATGTGAGTTGCGGTAACCTGTATGTTTAATGTTTATGTTACCCTTAAATAGAATCGTGTGCAGTCTTTCAATGAAGCCACTCCATGTATACTGTATGTAGTACATACATTGATACATGTATACTCGTATGTATGTATATCTGTTAAATAAGGAACACAATCGTGACACCACCTTCTCAAAACATCAACCAACTAATCCGAATATACCTACTATATGTGTTATAAATAGCTTATTTGTGCAAGTACTATTTCGTCTCATAAATGTGCATTGTCTCCCTCTTTACAATTACACCTAACACCATGTCAAAATCTGTAGTATTTGTAACCATAAATAAACATTCGGAAAACACTGTGCATTAACGCATCATTCTTACCGATTGTTTCTTATTTCTTCAGGTAAAACAGGTAAGGCCAACATTTCGCCAGGTTCGATTTGTGTTGACACGTAACACATTTTTTACGTCTATGCTGTTTGTCATTTCCATCTCTGACTCAACACCTTCCTTATCTATCTTCTATATGCGGCTCGCTAAACATTTCTGCGTGAACTAGTTCTGCCAGCAAACTTGTATGGAGCGACTTCTTACGAATGTTTTGTAAATAGTGTCATGACTACGTGTGCGCACTTCTAACTGAATTTTGCGTGTTGGTTGCGTGGACTATTTTATAAAACTATCCATAAGCCTTTTTATCGTTAGAATAGAACAAAAAAGTGCAAGACGATGGTTCCGAAAGACGAAAAAACTGATATGGAGACGTTGACTGACAAAGTCTTGCCAACAGGAAATCTAAATTCGCATGCTGTCAGCGGGAGTTACAAAGGTCCGTTTATCACCGTATTTTATCTTCGTTCGCTAATTTGTTTAGCCGCAACGTAAACGGGTTTCACCCCGCAGTGTTACCACCACATCTTCGTCAATGAAGACATCTCACCCCTCCCCCACCTCGCCTCCCTCAGCCAAGGGCGCCATCGACCAGGGTACACTGCACGAGCAGGCTCTGGACAAGCTCCGCTACCTGGAGCAGAAGGCGCGGCCGGCACACGATGCCGAGGAGAGCACCGCACAGGCACCAGTCTTCACCCAGCCCGTGCGCGATGTCCGGCTCGTCGAGGGCCAGCCGCTGCACTTCGAGGCGCGCCTCATCCCCGTCGGAGACGCCAACTTGCGCGTGGAGTGGTTCAAGAACGGCGTGCCGCTCCAGCAGGGTGAGAGGCGGCGGGCTCGGGCTAGCGATGAACTTCGTGATTTAGTTAGACCCATGAGCGTGATGAGGTGCTGTCGAATATTGCAATGTGTGCAAGGTTTGCAAAAAGTATGTCACGGCTCTGCTAAGGAAAACGATGTGTAGCATGAGGATACTTACGACGAGAGAAAAAACTCAGTACATAAAATACTAAGTTGCTGAAGGCCATCTGTCAATGATGCATTCTCCATCTCCATGCGATTTCACCACGTCACTAACGAATCACGACCCTCCGCCAGCTAACCGCATATCGACGCTGCACGACTTTGGTTTCGTGGCGCTGGACATGAAGTACACCCAGGAGGAGGACTCTGGCACCTACACGTGCCGTGCCACCAACGATCTCGGCCAGGCAGTAACCTCCGCCACCGCAGTCATCCAGTGTAAGTGCGAACGAATGGCGATAAAGAAGGAATGATGAAGGAAGAATGGAAATGAAAGTGTCTTGAAAGGGCACGGGGAAACGCTTACAACTCGAGAATGGTTGTAGTATCGGACGTGTTTCTTTGGATGAAAGCAGGGTGCTGTTGGAGTAGCTACCATGTCCACGGATCCGATATTCAGCAGTAGAGCGATAAATGTCTTGAAGCTATTTGTATATAAAATATCCCAGATTATAGACCGTAACCATTGTTAGTGCCGAGGTTCTTCCTGCTTGGTCGATGATGAAGTCGACGCGTTCTATCCACAGCCAAGGACTCGCTGCTGATGGAGACGCAGAACGCCAGCTCTCTGGAGAAGTTGCGTCAGCTGGAGGGACGGGCGTTCACCCGGACCGAGATTGAGGAGACTGTCGTCACTGAAAAACCACGGTAAGTACGGCACAGAACTTCCATCAGATCAACTTGCACAAGAACGAATGTCATGGTGTCAAAAATTCATCAAAGCGATGAGAAAAACACGATGAAGAACGTCCGTTCCATGCTTCTATCCTCAGGATACTGAAATCCTTCTCCTCCACACCGCCACCCCTCTCCGGGCTGGACAGGCAACTTTATCTCATGCGGGCTGCTCCCTTGGAGCGGCACCGCTGCTCCCGAGGGAGCGCACCCCGTAGCCGGGTGCAGTGAGTGCCTTGGGGCTGGGCGGCCTGTCCTCTGGACGGGCTCAGCCCCGGCGACTCACTAGGGTGCCTGCCCAGACCAATGTCTCCCCCTAATTCCTATCATTCTTCCGGCTCTGCAATGGTCTTGTCGACCGAAAGGGCCTAACCCAACAAAACAAACAAACAAACAAACACGATGAATTAACATGCAACAAGAGCCTATGTAAACTTTAGATTAAAGTTAAAAAGCGGATAATGAAAATGAGAAAATGTAACGATAAGCGTGGGACAACGGTAAGAGCAGGCCTCATCGTGTTCTTCCCCGTCACACACTTTTTCCCTTCTCTTCACGCAGGTTCGTGACCGAGCTGACGGGCCCCACCAGCCTGGTGGAGGGCCAGTCGGCACACATGGAGGCGCGCATCGAGCCCTACCCCGACCCCGACATGAAGGTCGAGTGGTTCCACAACGGAAAGGCGGTCGGCACCGGTGAGTCTCCGCTCACGATAAGTGCTTCTTCTTTCGCCTTGCCTATTGATTGATCTTCAGCAAATGTCGCGGCTGTTTCTCCTCTGTTCCTTCCGTGTTGGTGAGCTGACATACGTACGCATCTCCTCTCTCTCTCTCTCTCTCTCCTCTTAGGTCACCGGTTCCGCACCGTCAACGATTTCGGCTTCATCGCGCTGGACGTGCTCTCCGCGTACGCCGAGGATTCTGGCGAGTACACGGCCAAGATCACCAACCGGCTCGGCTCGGCCACCTCGACCATCAACATCAAAATACAAGGTCAGTGTAAAAGGAGAATTGGTGCTTCTCAGCTTCTGTCGAACGGTGCCAGAAGCGTTCGGGGTTTGCAAGAGAACTGCGACATGTTGATACGAATATGATATTAATGCGATCTGCTATTTACTATGAAGCGATATATTACGTAATGTTATAATCTCTTCTTGTTATGTTGTCCGAAACAAAAATCGTTTGATGCAAACTCGTATTTTGTTAGGCAGTCGAGCAACTAACGGCGTTTGATTGGGGTATATTTAGCTTACCGGCATGCGGTTTTCTTTCGTCAGCGTTAAAAATACTCAGACCAACATCAGCAACGCCTTTGGCCGCCCCCCACTGTTTGTGTTTTGAAATAGCGATAGTGACGCCATCCTGCTGAAATTGGCAACAGTGCGGTGGATGATGTTGCTTTGCTACACCGCCTGAGCTATTTTCGACTTTCGTTGTAAACTCGCGTCAGATTCTACATACCCTCGAAAATTCGTTGCTTCCAGCACACCAATTCCCTCAATGCGATACTCACATGACATCCGAGTGACTTATAATGATAAAATCGTCATCATCGATCTCTTCACAGCCATCATTTTCCTCTTCAACCATCGTGACACCGTTGCTCTAACTCTAACGCCTCCCTCCCTTCCTCCCACAGCGCGCGCCTCGCTGATCCAGGAGACGCAGCACCCGGCCGCGATGCAGAAGATCTCCTACTTAGAGTCGGACCGCCGACGGGAGGTGCACGAGGAGACCGCCTCCCTGGAGAAGCCCGTGTTCGGCCGGCCACTGCGGAACGCCGCCCTGGCCGAGGGTCAGAGCGCGCACCTGGAGGCCACGCTGACACCGGTCAACGACGCCACCATGAAGGTGGAATGGTTCTACAACGGACGGCCGATCCCGCAGGGTGAGTGACGGGGCAACACAGGGGAAACGACGGAGAACGATACGGAGAGGAGCTGGGCGATGGCCATGGAGTTTATTATTCCAATCATCTGAGGATTTTGTTTAGTATGGCATGTTAACTTTCATCAGATACGAAACAAAATTACCAGAGTCACGTATAAACTCATGAATGAAAGTCTTCGTCATGATGCATCCCAATAGCGACTCACTTGTTGAAAAAAAAAAATCCAACTGATTTTATATCAACTTTGCACTTCAACGACGCGTTCTTTGCCCACAGGTCACCGGTTCCGTACCACATACGACTTCGGCTACGTGGCGCTGGACATTCTATACACCTACCCGGAGGACTCCGGCACCTACATGTGCAAGGCCACCAACGCCGCCGGCGAGGCGGTCACCACGTGCCAAGTGACCGTTGAAGGTAAACCGGAGTCGCCGGTCGCGTGGAAGAGTGTGCGCACTACCGTAGACTCGATAGAGGGCCGCAGCAGTGCCGGTGTCGGCGGATTGACCGCTGTAGGGGATGGGTTGGGTGACGGGGCGGTGAACGGGGTAGTTGGGGCGCAGCGCGAGCGGGATGTTCGTAGTGACCAGATGACACAGGAGGTGACCAGAGATGTGACAGATACCACGACAGAGCAGCACTCCAGTAGCACCCTGACTAACGCTTACAGCTCCCGTAGTTCTAACCACCTACAGCAGCAACAGCAGCAACAGCATCGCCAGCACGCTAACGCTATCGCAGGTGTGTACTATCCCTTCTATAACGCTGAGTGTACGTATGTCGAGAGAGCTAAATTACCAGTGCCAGAGGAGAAGACAGTGCAGTCTTCTGAAACTAAAACCACAACTAAGTCAAGTACTTCAAAATCATCCACGATGAAGTCTAACTCCGACTTCTTTACAACAACCTGGGATGACGATCAGCCTTTCCCAGTGCCAGTTGCCTTTAACATGCGTGATCTTTCGCTAGAACAATTTAAAACGATGAACGAGTTCTTTTCTGGGTCCACCATCTCCAATCCTGACTATTTCGACAAAAAGGACACAAAACATCACGAGAGTGAGAGCAAATCGTGGAAAGAGGGTAACACAGAGTACCACAGAAGCATGACCAAAACAGAAATCACTTCCGTTACAACTTCAAAGAAGACGATTGTAACAGACATTCCGTCTGGAAGCACCACTTCGACGCAAAAGTCGCATGTTCAGGACACCAGAGAATCCAACCTGGCTTCAAGGGACAAGAAGAAAGACGATTCCATGGATCGTCAGTCCCGATCCAGCGTTCGACTGAGGGATACTGAAAGCCTCAGGACAAGAAGTCAAAGTCTCCAAAAGACCTCTAGCCAGGAGTTCACCGGGCGCTCGCACTCATTAGATGGAAGGATCATCCCTATCCAGATTGCAACAAGCTCGAATGAGAGAGTAGCTCAGGGTCCGAGTGCTTTCAAACCGGCCCCAAGGCCCACGTTTGACAACCAGTCCCGAATCAACCAAACGAGGGAGAGTAAATATATGAAGACGACTAAAACATATGGAGAGCAACAACAGCAGCCTACGAGCGTTTGGAAGCCTGTAGTGCCGCAGGTTCCAGACGTAATTACTAAAACTAAGGATGAAAAGTTCATAAGTTTCAGCGCAAAAGCCTTCGAAGAAACTAAGCCAGAGGTCAAACCATTACAGATAAGCAAACCTGTCACTGCCACAGAAGTGACAATCAAACGGGAAAGTACGGATGAACTTTCAAAAAATATCATCACAACCGTTTCAAAGGACAAGACTGAAAGTAGCAGCATTGAGCAACAGACGGGAGGAGCACCAGCATCTAAGCCTTACAAGAGGCTAAGATCGAGGTCTGTTGAACACATAATCTCCCCAGACGAAGCACCAATGATTCGTGAGCAGAGAAGACCCCGTTCAGCTCGAAGATCTGAGCCCTATGTAACGCCTCTGGTCAAGCCTCAAGCTGTTCCATCTATGCGGCCATTACGGAGGACGTCCCCCTCACCGGTAAGAACGGGTCCGAAGCCGTTCATTCCTCCCATGTACAGCGACGTGGTGGACGAAAGAGCCATCAAGACGTCAAAGACTGGTGAGTGGACGGCAAAAGAGATCCTAAAGCCGGTGGTGTTCAGACCATCACCAACAAAACCAGCCGAAGCGACGACCACGTCTATGGCCACAATCACCTCAGGGAGTTTCACGATGACCTCGAAGGTGGATAAAGAACAGAATACGTCACCGGCTGTTTGTCCCGAGGTCACGGCCGTCGAGAAACCACATGAACTGGCACATGCTCCCTGTGTTGACAAACCCAAAGAACATGGTACGATGGAGGAACGAAAGATCAGCTCACTGGAGACTAAGGAATCAACGACAATCACCACGACTAAGACACAGCCAGAGGCAGCTCCAGCAGCTCCCCGTCCAGTTTCTATCAAACCAGTGTGGACCGAGCCAGCGCAGACACCTAAAGCAGCTCAAACAGAGCAACAGAAACGCATGGAGCAGAAATTTATGAAGAAGGTCACTGAGAGGAAAGAGTCGAAGGAGCTGCCCATTGAGCCATCTCCGGAGCCTGTCCCGATATATGACGTCCCTCGCCCGCCTCGGCCTCCGTCGCCGAAAATTGCTGAACCCTCTCTCATCGACGATGTTCACACATCGCAGTACAGAACGTTCACCGAGGACACCGTAGTGACGAAGGAAACAGAGACAGTGGCTCCAGAGTCTGTCCCAGTCCAGCATGAATGCATCCCATTGCCTGCTGATGTAGATAATCGACAACAGTTCTATTCAAAGCAGATTTGTGAATCAAGCACCGTCACAACGACCACGCAACAGGATATTCCCTCTCCACCCGCTCAGCTGTCCACGGCTCTTTGGCACGAGCCTGTGATGGCCGCTAAAGCGCCTCAAATTGAACAGCAGAAACGCATGGAAGAAAAATTCATGAAAAAAGTTGTTGACCACCAAGAGTCGAAAGAAATGAATGTCGAATCAGTCGAGGTCCCAGATGCTGTACTGGCACCCGTTGCGAAGCCACAAATGGAGACCACGGATGCGCAAAAAGAGCAGCTCACTCAAAATGTAAGCCGATCCACTACATATATGACAACAAAACATGAAACGTTTTCAACTCCAGAGCCGATCCCAGAGGCACCCGTCTGGCATGCGCCGATACAAGAACCAAAGGTGGTCCAAACAGAGCAACAGAAACGAATGGAAGAAAAATTCATTAAAAAAGTGATCGAACATCAAGAGCCAAAAGATGTGCATGACCAGCCAAACGATGCACCGGCGATTCCTCAGTATATTCCTGTTATGAAGCCACAAGAGGAGACAACAGATGAACAGAGATTTATATCACAAGAGACAAGTGTGTCTAACACAGTTACAAGCGAAGAGGAGACAACCCCAGCTCCCGCCTCAGTTCCCGCACCACCCGTGTGGCATGAACCGATTCAGTTGCCGAAAGCAGCCCAGACTGAACAACAGAAACGAGTGGAGGAAAAGTTTATAAAGAAAGTTACCGAGCGGAAAGAGTCGAAGGAGTTGCCTATCGCTCCAAAAGTGGAACCCGAATCAATGGCATCAGAAATACAGACTGTCGACCATACAAAACAGGAATCAGAGCGAGTGACAACTGATCATCAGATCACTTCCATGACGAAGGTCCATCAGGTTCAAACATCAACTTCTACTGCACAGCATACAGACACACGTGAGCAGCCGCCTGCACCAAGTATACCCGTGTGGCACGAGCCAGCACGACCCCAAGAGGTGGGACAAACTGAAACACATTTCAAGGAAACCAAGGAATCCGCTCACTCATTACCGACTCCAATTTACGACGTACCTCGTATGACCGAAAGAGCCGGCCAAAAGCCTCTGGAAAACACGAAACCTAAGCCATTCCAAGCGCCTATAGTAGACGAACAGAGTGGTTCCTTTTACGAGACACACATGACCCAAACTGTTACTACGAAAACTGATCAAGAGATCCCAACAGTTCGAGCACCCGAATTTCAGCCTGTTTGGCGAGAGCCAGTGCATACGCCGAAGGCAGGACAAAGTGAACAGCAAAAACGAATGGAAGAAAAGTTTATGAAGAAAGTCACTGAGAAAAAGGAGACACTTGATCAACGGGAAGAGCCAGTGCCTGTCCCCATCCATGAATTTCCACAACAGGCAGAACCTCCGCTATCGCAACCATCAGAGTACCACGAACTGAAGGAACATCACAGTTCACACTTCGAGAAGAGCACGACATCCACGCAAGAAGCGGAAACGCCAGTAGCTGAGGCTGTACCAACCACACCTGTGTGGCATGAACCTGAACCTCAGTTCCAACAAACGGGAAAACAAAAACTAATGGAGGAAAAATTCACAAAGGTCATTGAGATGCAGGAAACAAAAGATCAAGAAAAGAAAGAAGCGCCTGTGCAAGCGCCGGTGACTGTTCCTATATACGACACTCCTAGTTCAATAAGACGACCAACATCTCCAGTTGTGAAGCCCACCCCATACACAGCAGTTGACCAATGGCAGCCAGAGCCATTGACCGAGAGGCAGAGTTTCCACTCGAAAGAATTTCATGAAACAAAGACAACTAGTTCGGTGCGAGACATAGCTCCTTCAATGCCGCATTTTGTTCCACAATGGCAGGAGCCAGAACAAGCCCCAACGATTTCACAGTCTGAGCAACAAAAGCGAATGGAAGAAAAGTTTCTAAAGAAAGTGATTGAAAACAAGGAGTCAAAAGTAACTCCAGAAGAAACCAGTGCTGGACCCGTCACAAAGCCTTGCGCGACTTCAGCTGACGAAACTGATCGGATGCATTCGTATAAACAGGAGTTGTATACGAGCAACACGTCTGATATTGCTCAAGAAGCAGTAAAACCTGTCTCAATACCAACCGAACCAATCAAACCCATTTGGCAAGAGCCCGTACAGACACCAAAGGCTTCTCAGTCTGAACATCAAAGAAAAATGGAAGAAAGGTTTGTGAAGAAGCTGACTCAAAATCAGGAATCAAGGGAGATATCAGACAAACCAGAACCTGTGCCTTCTTTGAACCTGCAACCAGAGATGACACAAATGGGTCCAGTAATATGCACAAAGGAGGTGCGTGAGTTTAAGACCAGTACCTTCACCAAGATTGAGCAAACAACACGACCTTTATCAGAACCAAAAGAGCCAATTGAAGTGCCTCGGAATGAACCGGTACTCTTGCCGACGGTACCCCAAACAGAAGAAAGCTTTGTTCAAGAAAAGCTCATGAAGCAGGAAAGCGAAGTAACAAAACCTGAAACCAAAGTTTTTCACCCTGTAAAGCCGAGACCAACACCAGCTGAAATAGTGAAGAGTGAAAATCTTTTTTCCAAGCAAACGGAAAAGAAAGAATTCGTTGAGACG